ATAAGTCCTACACCAAGATGTTAATTATTATTACCATTTGTTTTGAGAGATAGAGGAGTGATTGAAATTGAGATGGAGGTAAAATTTATTAATATTGTATTAGTGTTTTAATGCTATGGAATATATGTATCATATACACTGTTAGTTACACATTTTTAAAAATTTTAACATTATTAGAAAATATGTAATTTTATTTATGAAGTACAAATTATGTATCAAAAACAATCAGTAATATTCGTCACAAATGATGCAAGAAAAAAATGCAATATTTGCCTCAAAAAATAAGTAAAAAAAGTTATATGTGATACACAACTACTTAATATTTATTATAAAAATACATAACATATATTACAAAAATATGTAAAAATTAGGATTGTACACGGATCAGATTGATCAAGTTTTAGAGTAAATTAGGAACCGAACAGTAGGAACTAGTATATATATATATATTGAAAACTGATAAGGAACCAAACAGTAGGAACAATAGGAACACGGATCGGATTCTTCTATGTCTTGTTCTTCATCACAATTGGTCGATCAAGTAGTTTAACATATCTAATGCTTTCCTTCATGGAGTTCTTGAAGAAGAGGTGCATATGTTGCAGCCTCTTGGCTTTTTCATCCTACTCAATCCACTCATGTCTGCAAACTTCACAAGGCCTTATATGGGCTCAAACAAGCACCTAGAGCCTGGTATTGCACGTTCTCTGTATTTATTCTATCTCAGGCGTTTTAGAATAGAAAATGTGATTCATTTGTATTCATTCAGAAGTCTGATAGCACTATTACTGTGCTTTTAATCTATGTTGATGACATATTACTCACAGGAAATAATGATGCTCATATTACCTCTCTTATTGCTCATATGCATGAGGTTTTTTCTATGAAAGAATTGGGTCCGGTGTCCTATTTCTTGGGCATTTCAGTTCAAGCTATTGCTACTGGTTATACAGTTTGTTAACAAAAGTATGCTCATGACATACTTGTGCGAGCTGGATTAGCTGAATGCAAGCCCTGTTCTTCACCTATGTTTGTCAAGGCTAGTCTCACTAGTTCTTTCACTGAATTGTTTGACAATCCGTCTCTTTATCGCAGTATAGTTGGGGCTTTGCAGTACTTAACTATCACCAGACCTACCATCTCCTTTACTGTTAATCAGTTGTGTCAACATATGCATGCCCCCAACTTGGGTCATTTTTCTGCTGTTAATCAGTTGTGTCAGCTTCTGTTCCTATATATGTCTATTAGAGATATTAGATATTTGTTAGAGTTAGATATTAGTTAGAAGATTGGTTAGAAGTTTGTTAGACAAGTTGTTAGATAGTTAGACAGTCATTATACAAATGTCTATATAAACAATAATGTAGCTACAATACAAGTATTGAATAAAGAATTGGGGAGTTCATCTTTTTTTCATTGTGATGAAGAGCAAGACAAAGAAGAATCTGAATACAGTAGCAGTTGAAGTCACAGCTTATGTTGCTACAGTCTAAGACATTAGTACCACCACTATATCAGCAACACTCACGCCCATCTCACAGCTGCAGCTTCAGATCTAGCTCAGTTTCTGTTGGTATATCTGTCTATTAGAGATATTAGATATTTGTTAGAGTTAGATATTAGTTAGATATTTCCAGACTAAAATCAATCAAGTTTCTGTCAATGATCCGGTTACATAACCTGCATCAGGTTCGAAGATCCCTGGATTAGTAGGCTTACAGCAACAGCTTCAGTGGTCTAGTACATAAATCTATTGGGATGGTCTGATTCTTATTATGTTCTGTTCTAGCTTTCTGGGTGAGCAGCTGCTGCTTTGTGTCATTAATCCTGGTTATTGCCTTGGTTCTGGCCCTGACGAGCAGCAACAGCAGTATTGGGTTTGGTTGGAGAGCTCCTGAGAAAGTTGTTACTCTTGTATAGTTGCCTACTGCTGTGTGTACAGAGGTGTCACACAGGGGAGGCTAACTGCTAGCTGCTGTGTTGTACTGCTATTGCTGCTGTTTTATTCTAGAAAGAACAATTGTAGTTACAAAGAAGAAAGTTGGACTAGGAGGGTAGAAGATCTGTAAAGACCTGCATCTGCAATCTGCCATAGGCTGTAGAGTAGAGAAAAGTAGGATATTAGCCAACTTTTCGATGCAGGCCTCAACCTAGAACCAACCTGGATACACCTCAAAAAAGCACATAGCTAGCCAATGAGACTTCAATACCCTGGATATGGAGAAAATGAGACCATAACAAAGAGGGACAGATCAACCTGCAAGTATACATGAAACCTTTTTTGGGGTGAATAAGTCATAAATAAAAACAAAGAGCTCACACGACTAGAAGGGGCATAAGAGGCATACCGCAGGCCCTACACCACCACTATACATGAACAAAAACCAGCCAAAAACCACACAAAGGCAAGAGAAAGCAAACAAAAAATAAAAATAACAACCAAAAATAAACAGCCCCAATACACAAACACTAGGGACTAGAGTTTTCTCTAAGCTATGGAAAACATTCCAAACGAAACTGAGAAGACTTAGACCAAAACAAGCTGCACATCAGATTTGGATCGTTTTAATGTGTTCAGGGTCCCCATACCAGCTGTATGTGGACCATGAACTCACCCTATAATCCCAAACGCTGAATCAATGTCAGCACAAAGATACAAGTATTTTCCCTTGCACAGCCCGCAAGGGTAGGCCACAAAATATTCACCTGAACATCAATACTAGTATAGACTAAATAAGAATGACTTTTACAATCAAAATTAAAGGATTTCTTCACACTTGAGGCGCTTAGAGCAGCCATCGTCCCTTGCTGCCAGATTCCTAATTCCAGAGGACAAACTGCCAGCAAGTGTTCCCAGTGGCAGAAGACATCCGACAGACATTTTATGTAACCCTTCTTTCCAGCAACAGACTTGAAACAAACACGCAACCCAATACATGAATTCCTATCACAGCTAAGAACCAATGCTCTATGCCATCGGCAAGAAAAAGCGTTACATACGAACCACAAACAGCCCACATCATATGAACTCACATCACTCAACCCATAATATGAGACCTCAGTACACTCTAGAAATGTTGACAGCAAACAACTTGCAAGATAGAACAACAATTCATAAACATGTAAACAAGTTAGCAACAAAACTCTCTCAATATGGGCTGTGAAAGGTATGTGATTTAATGTCCTCCCTACACTCAACCCTCTATGATATGGTCTAGCTCCCAGAACAGCACCTTTCAACCTGCACATTAACAAAACAATTAGATAACACTCTATTTATGCTCCCATTCACTCAACCCACTTGAAGTGATCTCACATCCCTAAAAACTCTTCTAATCGGATCCAGAGAGGTAACTCTATTCTTCAAAATTGAATCTGGCAACCTCCATGTCTCCAGAAACAACCTATCAGTTTGATTACTATTTAGGTTAGTAACAGAAAACATTCAAAATCGAACCATATCAATTATTTGCTTAATAACCACCTCCTCGGGGAGGAACTCCCCATTAAAAAATCTGTTATTTCTGGTCATCCACAATTGGTAAACTGTGTAATTAAAAACCAATTTGGAAATGACCGACCCGAGGGATTTACCCCAAATTTGTTGAGACAGAAGTTGAACCAGCTCAAACCATGGCAGATCTGGCCAAGAAACATTTAACTTTATTTTCATGACATTCCACACTCTATCAGAGAAAGGGCAGTGGAAAAACAGGTGGTTGTGATCTTCATAAGGGTTATGGCAAACATATTAGTTTAGTTATTTATTTATTATATGTATTTTTATTTGATTTGGATATTGCTTTGCTGTTTATTAGAACTATATTTGTTTTATGAAAATTCATGTATATTATGATTCTCTTTCTTTATTGCATTCTTGTTTTTGTTTTACTCTAATCATATGATCTTCTCATTATACATGACCATTTATAGGCAATTTTATATTTTTGCGTTCTTATGAAAGTTAAGACAATGGAATTGATGCCTATAAGACACTTTTAAAATATTCGTTACAGTTATCACAAAATGTCTCAAACCTTAATATAGCCTTGGTGTAGCATTGCCTACGACTAAAATTCATAAACGTCATGTTCGAAGACCTGTATATTTATGTATCATAGTTTATTAAGAAATCCCTATTTTCACTATTTAGATGCACTTCTATTTGTGTGAAATTTCTATGCACTTCTATTTGTGTGAAATTTCTCCACCTTTTTTATCTAAGCAACTATATGTATTACTTGGCCATATTAGGAAAACAGTTACTTCGCAATTAGTGATGGAGAAAGATTGGGTACATCTTAATAGGTAATGAAAATTATATTTGGAACCTATTGCGCTTAAAATATTCATTCTCAAATGTTTTGATAAATTTGGACTTTGAATGGTAAAATAGAACTACAGATGAATACATGAAAGCAGCATGGAATTTTGTGGACATGGCTAAAAGGAATGCAAGTTATCCAGAGAAGATTATATGTCCTTGCAAAGATTGTCGAAACATAAGTCACCATTGTATTGAGGTTGTGTATGAGCATTTGGTCATAAAGGGAATGGATGAAACTTATACAAATTGGTTTCATCATGGAGAACAACCACATGTCAGTGATAAACCTGATATGGAAATGTTAGGCTCATACAATTTATTTAAAGCTGCATGTGCGCGAGATGACAATTATGAAAAATCTGTTGATGAAAGTGGGGATGAGGATTTTTTCAAATTACTGGAAGATGCAAAAACTCCATTATATTTAGGTTGTGAAAAATACACAAAGTTGTCAGCAATTGTAGCTCTTTACAAGCTCAAAGCTGTAAATGAATGGTCTGATAACAGTTTCAATAAACTTCTGGAGATATTACATGATATGTTACCAATGGGAAATGTCATTCTGAAGTCTGTATACTCTGTGAAAAAATTTGTCAAAGCATTTGATTTAGGGTATGAGAAGATTCATGCTTGTGTGAATGATTGCTGTTTGTTTAGAAAATAGAATGCTGAAATGGAGAGTTGTCCAAAATGTGATTTTTCACGATGGAAGGTCGATCAACGCACCAATAAAATTAAAAAAGGGGTTCCTGCTAAAGTGCTAAGATATTTTCCTATAATCCCAAGGTTTAGGAGGATGTTCAGGTCATCACAAATGGCTGAAGATTTAAGGTGGCATTCTGCTCATAAAAGTGAAGATAGCAAGATGAGACACCCAGTTGATTCTTGCTCATGGGACTTGGTAAATAATAAGTGGCCACTCTTTTCATCAGATCCTTGCAATCTGAGACTAGGTCTAGCGGCTGATGGTTTCAATCCATTTCGTAATTTGAGTTCTACGTACAGTTGTTGGCCCGTGATGCTAGTTGTATATAACTTCCCACCATGGTTATGTATGAAAAGAGAAAATGTTATGTTGACATTATTGATTCCAGGAAAAAAGCGACCAGGTAATGACATTGATGTATATTTACAACCGCTTATAGAAGACCTGCAAGAGTTGTGGAATAATGGGGTGAATATTTATGATGCTTTCACAAAAACTGTTTTCAATTTGAGGGCAATTTTGTTATGGACAATAAATGACTTTCCAGCATATGGAAATCTCTCTGGGTGTACTACGAAGGGTAGAATAGCATGTCCTATATGTGGCAACAATACATATTCACAGTGGCTAACATTTAGTAGGAAGTTTGCATACATGGGCCACAGGTGCTTCCTTCCGCCATCTCACCCTTTTCGAAAGAAAAAAACTTGGTTTGATGGTAAGGAAGAAAAGAGAAGAAATCCAAAAATCATGACTGGCAACAACATTTGGGTTTCTATTAAAGACATGAAGAATGATTATGGAAAAAGTGGAAAGAAGAAGCAAAAGCGAGATAATGAACCTATTCAAACGTGGAAAAAGAGGTCAATTTTTTTTGAATTACCTTATTGGAAGGTAATTGTTATTGACTATTTTGATATATCTTATTTATTTATTTATTTATTTATTTATTTGAGTTTTTGATAGTAGCAATTTTATAAGTGTTTTTATAATGAATTCTCAGGAACTTACATTACGTCATAACTTAGATGTAATGCATATAGAGAAAAATGTTTGTGAGAGCATCATTGGCACCTTGTTGGATATCAATGGAAAATCGAAGGATGGTCTCAATGCTCGTAAGGATTTACAAGAAATGGGAATACGACACGACTTGCATCCAACAGACCATGGGACTAGAACATACCTCCCTGCAGCTGCACATACACTATCAAGGACTGAAAAGAAAATATTTTGCAAGAGGTTATTTGACCTAAAGTTACCCGATGGGTATAGCTCAAATATTGGGAATTGTATATCGATGGAGGAATGCAAGATTATAGGCCTCAAATCCCACGATTGTCATGTTCTGATGCAATAATTGTTGCCTGTAGCTTTGAAAGGATTAATGCCGAAAGGACCAAGAAATGCCATACTTCGGTTATGTTCATTCTTCAACAGAATATGTCAACGAGTCCTTGATAGAGAACAAATAGCGGCCCTCGAAGAACAAGTCATTGAAACCTTATGCATGTTTGAAAGGTTCTTTCCACCTTCATTCTTTGACATCATGATTCATTTAACAATTCACATAGGACGAGAAGCACGATTATGTGGACCAGTCCAATACCGTTGGATGTATCCCTTTGAAAGGTGAACACCTATTTCATGATTATTAAATATGACTATGTGTTAAGAAGTATCATTTTAATATGATGTTCATTTTTCTGAAGATATATGAAGATACTCAAAGGATATGTTAGGAATCCTGCACGACCTGAAGGCTGCATCGCAGAATGCTATCTTGCAGATGAGTGCATGTCATTTTGTAATAAAAATATGAAGACAACTATTGAAGTAGATTATCAAGTAGGCCGCAATCAAGATTTTGATAATGATGTGATTCTTGAAGGTCGTCCAATTTCAGGTGGAACATCAATCACATTGAGTGATGAATTGTTGGAAACTGCACATCGTTGCGTGTTGTTCAATACAGCCATAGTGGAACCCTATTTGGAGTAAGTATGATAGAATTTCCAATGCATAATTTACTACGTACCTGATATTAGTTATAAACCACTTACATATTTTGGTTTCAATCAGGATGCATTTAGAGGACTTAAAGTAATCAAATAGGAGCCTTGGTCTTCAAAAAAATAAAAGCTTACTTTTGAAGCGACATGCTGAAAATTTCGCAGCATGGTTAAAGGAAAAGGTTACATGTTATTTCAAATCTGTTTGTCTAGAAGAATATGATAACATAACATATGAATTTATTTCCTTATTTTTTAACAGATTCAGTTTCATACCCCATCAACTAATGAGTTGGACAATGATGAGGTGGACAAACTAAAATGGCTTGCATATGGTCCTAGAAAGTATGCAATGTCCTATAATGGATATATAATTAATGGGCAGCGATTCCACACAAAGGAAGCAGAGAAGTCAACTCAAAATAGTGGTGTTTCTATTGAAGCTAGCACCATGTGCAGAGCAAGTGCAAAGGACACTTCACAAGTTGTTGATGTCGTTGCATATTATGGTGTGATCAGAGATATAATTTTATTAGATTACCATACATTTCAACTTCCAATATTCAAGTGTGATTGGACAAATATTGGACATGGTGTTAGATTTGAAGATGGTTTTACACTTGTTAATCTACCCCAAGATGAGAACCAATATGAGAGGAAGCCTTTTATATTGGCCTCACAAGCAAAACAAGTGTTTTATTCGAGAGAAACTGATTCATCGAATTGGTATGTTTTACTAAAGGCATCGCCAAGAGGTTATTATGAGTTGGAAATGTATGATGAGAATGAGGATATGTCTTCCAGGCCACAACACGTTTCATCACTTGATTTGAACATCGATGATGATAATGACGAAGGTAGTTTTGTGAGAGAAGATTGTGAGGGCATATTGGTGTGATTTGTGTGCTACTCTTGAAAAGATTGTAGTTTTTATCTCAAGTCTTTTTGAGTTTATAATGTTATTTTGAAATTTCTTTGTAAAGCACTAGTTTACATTCTAAATTTGTTTCAGAATTATTTATTGTGGTTTGAAACAAGATAAAAGAGTTTTAACTTATGATGAATGTATAATATTGCACTTTAAAAGTTTTTATTTAAAATTTTTTGGGAAATGATGGTATGTACAGGGTTTTTTTGCTTGGTCATTTCTATCACTTTTGTAGCCTTTATGTATTTATAAGGTATACAACTCAATTCTTGTTTCAAAATACTTTCTTTATTTCAATTCATTTCTCTAACTAAGTTTGGAATTTGATGCTATGTTATTATTTTGTTGAATAGGTTGGCTACCATGGTTGCTAGTTGTAAGGGGAGGTTACGTCCAAGGCAGACATCAAGTGAAGTCTCTCTTGAAGGACCATCCAATCTCTTGCCTCAAGATTCCATAGAAACAACTGCAGTTCCTACAGAGGGTTCACAAAGTCTTAAACGAAAAAGGGGCCCAACCAAATTGAAAACAATTGCAGTGGATGGCGGAAGTCGAATTGAAATAGTGTACAATGACTTGGGTCAACCAATTGGTGATGGATCGGTCAAATTATCCTCCTTCTTAGGAGCTCTTGTTCGAGAGATTGTACCTGTAACACTTTCTGATTGGAGGAAACTTCCTTCGGGGATGGAAGAAGTCTTATGGAAATCTATTCAGGTGTAGTATACCAAACTTAAATATCTTTGCTTTGAACATAAAATAATCATAACATTAATGGTAATACAACTTGCAGATAAGATTTAAGGTAGATGAAGAGTGGCAAAAAGATCATATATTTATGTCTATGGATGATCGTTGGAGGGCCTCCAAATCAAGATTAGTTACCAAAATAAGGAAAGCATCAAACGAAGAAGAAAGGCTTAAACTACGACATGATAACATCAAATCAATTCATGAGTGGAAGGATTTCTTGAAGGAAAAGACAAGTGAAAAGTTTAAGGTAAGAAACTTCTGAAGTTGTCAATACTATTTTATAAAGGCAACATATCATAAAGACATTCTATTGTTATCAACACTATTTTATAAAGGCAAATTGTATTTGTATCACTACTATTATGTTTCTCCACCTTTTTGTCATGTTTTGTTGCAAGGGGATCACTAATCATCATTGTTGATTGATTTTTCTTAGGGAGCATGCTGTTTCTATTGTTATCAACACTATTTTATAAAGGCAAATTGTATTTGTATCACTACTATTATGTTTCTCCACCTTGTTGTCATGTTTTGTTGCAAGGGGATCACTAATCATCATTGTTGATTGATCTTTCTTAGGGAGCATGTTGTTATTCCATTAAGCAAGATAATTGTCTATTTTACTATAATGTTGTATCAATTTCAATAAAATAGAATGTTTTCGTTGACCAAAAAAATCTGAAATTGATTAATTGCTTTAGGCTAAAAGTGAGAAATTCAAAACAATTAGAAGTAAACAACTCCCACATACATGCAGTTGCAAGGGATATGCACGGTTGACTGAGGACATGGTAACATTAAATTTTATTATAAATTTTATTAAGTTCTGTTTGTATTTTTTTTATAGTATGAATCTTTTGTTTCCCCTCTAGAAAAACAAGGGTGCAACCTCCTCATCTCTATCTAGAGTTCCTGTCTGGATTCAGGCACATACCAAAAAGAATGGTGAACCCATAAACACAACTGTTGCTAAAACTATTGTAAGAACATTTCTCTATTTAATAATTTTTATTTTTTATTTTTTATAATATATCTTTATATTCATATTGGTCATCCTTATCTACTCAGACATAATAATAATATTATTTTTTTTAAGGATAAATTGAAAGAAGTTGAACTTGACGATCCAGTATCATCATCTATTCTTAAGGTAAAACAAGATGCTCTTTCAAAAATACTTGGTCGTGAGAATCGCGGGCGAATAAGAGGGCTTGGCAAAGGAGTTACTCTTACTAAATTGTGTGTACTCTCGCAAAGGGATAGTTTTAAAACTCAGGAAAAAGAAGAAGCTACTCAATTGAAAGAAAGAGTGGCACATTTGGAGAGTGTAGTTAGTCATCTAATGAGAAATGAGGCAAGTAGTTTTACGCATTTATTAAATTTACTTATATAGGTTTCAAACTTTTTAACATAATTACATTATTGTCTTTCATTTTTTAGTGTCAGAAGCAAGCAAGCGAGGAAGGATCAACAAGACCTATAGTTTCTCCCTCGGTAAAAAAATATTATTTACATTCCATTTTACATGAAAGTAGTGTGCGCACATGCACACACATACATTTCCATTGTATGAGTATATTTATATGTAGAGATCAACTTTAGAATACCACTTAAGGGGTTTGGGTCTTCACTATTCAGTGATACTACATGAATTAGAAATACTTAGCTAGAATGTGAGGGGTTCAAACACCCCAGATAAGATGATGGTCGTCATAGCTCCCCTTAATGATTGGAAGGTTGATCTTATTACAATTACTTTCATGTTTTGGAAAATGTAAGGGGACAGTTTGTATAATATAATTAAAACAGCTTGAGTAATGTTACTTCAATAAGTTGTTTACTAATACCAAGTAAAAATAAGAAGTTAGGGAAAAAAATACATACAGGCAAATAAACACACTAGGATACGTACATGCACGAAGCAATTACTAACCTTGCGAAGGCAAAATGAACTCATTTTCTTCTGATAAAGAAAAATGGTGGTCAACAGAATAGCAATCAAAGGAAAAAAATAATGCCTCCCCAAAAATCTACTTATATTGCCTCCCTTCATCTCTGCATAAACACTCAAACAACAGAACTCCTTCTCAGTCAAACCTCACAGCACTGGCATGTTTCTGCTAGGTGAGGACTTCAAAGTTCTTCAAGTGAAAGATTTTTCAAAAAGAAACCCTCATTGCTTTTAGTTGCAAATTGTTGAAAACTTCAGCTGAGGACATTAAAAAAGGAAAACAAATGATCAGCTTAATTAAGATTCCAAATAAAGTGCACACATGCAGTTTATCTTCAGTCATTATTATACAAACAGTAGTTTTTTCACCTTTTTTTAATGGAGAGGTGATAAAAGCTATGGTGTTGGGTCATTGACTAGAATGTAAATTGTAATTAGTTCTCTGGTTGAGGAATACTCAAGGCAATGTTCACAGATGGATTTTACTCGCAATATTGAAATTTCATGGTTGACTCATGAGCTATGTCACATAGACTCAGGTAAGTATCAGGTGCGGGTTCAAGTGTTAGATCTTCCTAAACCTAAATCTTAGGATATTGGATATGCATCCAAAATTTGGGAATGGATAAGGGGATACATCTTAAACACACACACACATATGTATTGCTTATTGTACTTCAAATAAAATAGGATTTAGGAAAACATAGAATTTACATAATAGAAATGTTTTCTTACACACACACACACACATATGTATTGCTTATTGTATAATATTCTTAGATAAGATGTTATACATTGTTTAAAAATGTACTTCAAATAAAAAAGGATTTAGGAAAACATAGAATTTACATAATAGAAATGTTTTCTTTACTAGCAAATGCAAGTGTCTTCTTCTTCAAACATCATACAAAATTAGAGGATCCAAATGTCTATATTGGGTACAGGTGTTGGACACATATCCCCCATGTTTACCCTTGTCATATCCGGTGGACACAAGTACAATGGGAGAAGTAGAAAAGTCTGTGTAACACATCTTATGAGTATTGATTTAGACAATTAAAATTCTTGGTTCACTCATCATTATACTGTATATATATAGAGAAAGAGGGGAGCTAACAACCATATATGGGTGACAGTTTCTCTTGTTTGTCATTGCCTTGTTACTAAAATGTCAGAACACTAACACCCCCAACAAGAAATGCAAGTTGCTGGATTGGATGGGGTCAGGGGAAGTAGTTGCTGAAGGGCGTTGGTCTTCAAGTGATCCGAAACAACTTGTCCATCACATTCCTATTGGACCTAATGCCATGAGAGTATGGGTAGATCTCGTAAGAGAAGCTGGAGCATATTTATGGAGGCCTACTGCTGACATGACTTACATTGAAGACGCTGTGGGTACTACAGTTGCATGGCCAGCTGACAAAGTTGTTATGGGGCAGTGATCACTTCTACAGGTTGGTAATTTTTTAAAAGATTACAAATATTACTCTTCATGAACAATTTAAATCTTATTATATTTGTTTTTATTTATTCCACCAGCAGAAATGTATTTGTAGAGAATGTAGAAATGTTTTTTTTTTTTTCTGAATAGACAGGTCGGATCTAAATCGGAATCCTTATAATGCAATAGAAGTATATTTATTAAGAGATAAGACAATACAAAGAGAAGAGTAAGGAATGCTTGATATTACGAAAGAAATAATACTTTTTTAAGCGATAGGATATTACAACATACTTTATAGTTTTGCATATCACATTAGCTACCAGAATAAGATTTCTTGTACAGAGGCAGATGATGGAACACCCTCAGGCCACAAATAGCATACACCAGCAGATAAGCACTGTTAGACATATCAGGAAGTGGCTTCCTCAATTCCTCACTGAACCTTGCATATCAATTAGATTTCAAGCCAGAACCCACCAGCTCCACCCTAAACAACAGACAACATAACAGCAGCAGACAACATAACACCCTACCCACTCACCCTTGGAATTCCATGATTTTATCCACTCAATCCAGAACCAACCAGCAAACAACAGATAGCAAACCAGCCACCAAACCAGCCACACTAATTTTCCTAAAACCTCATACAGCAAAAAGACCTCCAAAACCATAAAGCAGACCAGCAACCAACACTCCCAAAACAAATTAGCAGCATGCAGATTAGCTTCCAAATCAGCAAACAAATTACCAGCATGCAGATCAGCTTACAAAGTAGCAGCTTGCAGGTCAACATATTCTGAATCTGGAAGAGATCACCAGCTT